TTTCTTGCTATTTTGAACTATAGAAAGAAACTTATGATGAACACAATGTCCAGACGCATCCACCTGGTTTTCATGTCATCTTTCTGCCATTTGCCAATGATATGAGGAAACTTAATTACCCTGAAACAGCCAAAGGTACAAATGACTTGCAAATTCAAAAACTGAGTTTTTCTTTAAAGGTTTGAGACCATCTATCAGTCCTTCACAATATTCTACTTCATATTTAAACGAAGCACTGTAACTTTCTTTCATTTATATATCGTTCTATCATAGTGCCATGCGGTCCTCATATTCATATATCTAAACTATATACTGTCTACTCTGAGTAGATGAATCAAGGCCATTATGCTGTGTGATAGTTGCCCACAGAAAAACAAACAGTTGCCCGATCACACAGTTTTTGTAATTGACTGACGGTATAATTCAACAGCAAAATTTTCTGAAGTCAGGGCTCAATGCACACATAGTACCCCTCCGGCGCAGGCAGTATCACATCATGTGGTTGGCTTTTGACTAATGAGAGTGGAGGGAAATTTGTTGTTGAATTATAACATTTTATTTTATTTTTTTCGTTCTCTAGCTACCAATACACAAATAAGCAAAGCAAAAGATATAATCAAGAAACTTACTTTTACTTTTGATGCATCAAGTTTTGAAAATCCATGTAAGTTAAATAATAATTATTAACAATGTACTAGGAGTACACACTTCGACAATGAAATAAAATGAAAAACGTAGTATTCATGTTTCTGGGACTTCAACACAATGACCATGTTCTAGAGTAAAATTGTTTGTTTAGTAATATTAAAGTGATACATTAATCATTTATTATTTCTGGGAGGCATTAATTGTACATTATATTAAACTATGATGAATTTGTTTTTTTTTAAATAATAATAATTATTTGTCATCTTGGCCTCATTACTAGTTTATTAAATTTATGTGTATTGTTATGGCATTTTTTGACAGCTTTGCAGAAGCATTATCGTCACCTTGAAGGGCTGGCTTTGGACAGAGATGCACCGGACGACTTCACTGATCTAACAGGTTCACAATATAATTGTCCAAAATACCACAAACAATCTACATGTATAACAAACCTCTCGAGCACTTTGCCGTTAGCTATGTGTATTACATACGTGTACTCACAACCTTGAAAATGGCCGCTTAGGCGGAAAGCTTGATTTGAAGATTAAAAACCTAAATACACAGAAGAGCAGTCTTCATTTACAACAAACCTGTTTAT